GGCCGTGCCCCCGGGCTCGCGGTTTGCTCCGAGCCCGGGCGGGGGCCAGCCCACTCGCTGCGCCCGCGGCCGCTGTGTGTTTACTGAGCACCTCCTGTGTCCTCGCACCGTGGCCGCCGTGACAGGCACACGGTGGGCAGCACGGGCGGAGACCCCGGCCCTCGTTCCCTCGAGGGCCGGCCCTGGCCGCTGCGCCAGGTGAGGGCCTCGGTGACGGAGGAGCCGAGGGGCAGCACTCCGGGCAGAGGGAACGGCCAGCGGGAAGGCACAGGGCACGAGCCGTCCTGCCGAGCGCCCAGAGCCCCGAGGAGGGCGTGAGGCTGGGGTGGGGGCGCGGGAGCCCGGAAGTGCAGCTGCACACCCAGGGAGGGAGCGCGGTGGGAGCCCCGGCCAGCTCCCACGTCTCCCGCATCTCCATCGTCTGGGGGATGACGGATGACCGGCCCACCCTCCACACCCCGTTCCCTGGGCCAGGCCACGACAGGACGCCGGGCCTGTGGCACGAGCCCCACAGGTCTGTGGGCGCCATCCCACTTCCCCAGAGTGGAGCCACCCTCCTGCCCTGACCCAGGCTTTCCAGTCCAGCCTCGTGCGGGCTCCACCCAGGGACGCCTGGAACCACAGGCATGGGGGTGGGACCCCCATGGCACGGTCTTCTCGACTGGGGTTATTTCTCAACATCTGAACGTCAGGAGACCCCCATGGCACCAGCATCAGGCTCTCAGACGGTGTGGCCGCCTGGGGCCTGTGCTGAGTGCAGGTCGGCCACCCCACCTCGTGCCCCCCGCTCCGGGGAAAGCCTGGCAGCCCTTGCCGTGCCCACGTCCATCGCGTGGGGAGAGGAACAGCGGAGGCCCCTAGCCCCGGCCCTGCCTGCGTCCGCGCCGGGCTCCGACCCTCTGTGTCTCGCTGTGCATGTGTCCTCTCTGACGAGGACACCAGTCAGCGGATGTCGGGCCCACTCGACTCCAGCACGACTTCACTCTTAACTAATTTCCCCTGCAAAGACCCCATTTCTACGTGAGTCTGATGCAGAGGTCCAAGTGGATGTGAATTTGGGGGAGCGTTGTTCAACCTGCCACAGCAGCTCTTTGAGCCAAAACGGGGGGCACCCTATTTCTTTGAGGAGATAACGAATATTGTGCACGTTTCTCGTGCTCCTGCCCGTCTCCTGCCAGCGCCTGCTTGGGGTCGGACACCTGTCAGCTGTGGGCTGTCGGGGTGACCAGTCAATCACCACTGGCTCCAGTGGGTCTGGTCCCCACCCTGGGGCAAGTCGGGAGCCGGGCGCAGGGGGGCTCCCTGTAGGTGGTACCTGTTATCTCAGCCTCCAAAAAAAGCAAAGCTAGAAGAATGACGCACGTTCTAGCAGATACTTTCTTACGACTGTAATGCCGTTTGTACTTGATGTTCAGATGTTCACCCAGGGAGGGATGTTCGCCTCGCCGGACGGAGCACTGCCCTTCAAAGGGGGTGCGTGCGCGAGTGAGCCGCTGTGTGCACCTGCCCTCGCCTTCCTCCGCGCACACAGCAGCCTACCGCGCACCCTGGCCGTCCCCTCGTCTCTGGGCGCTCGAGAGGCTCGGAGACGGTTGCACGTCTCTGCATAAAGAGCCTCCTCGTTCCTCAAACCTTTATTCTGAAAAGTCACTTCTGACTTCCGGGAACGTTGCAGAAACAGTACGTGAATGCCCGCGTGCCCGTCATCCAGCTTCGCTCCTTGTTCACATTTTGCTGTATTTGCAACGTGGACGGTTGGTTCTATGCCTGTGTTCCCCTGAACCCGTGAGGAGTCCGTGTGCGCACGTGGGCCATCGTACCCGCCAGGGCCAGCACTCCCTCCCGTCGTGCGTGGAAGAGGCTCCGCTCTCCTGCCCTCCTCTCCTCTGCTGGAGGGGGGCCGCTCTGCGGGGGCGTGGGTCTGCTTCGTGCGCCGCCCCCCAACTCAGGCATTCCGGTCGTCTGCTGTCTCTGGCTAAGGATTTTAAAAATTATGTTTACTTTTAATTGTGGTAAAAAAGAAAAAACACGTAAAAACTGGCCACCTTAGCCACGTCTACGTGCGCGGTTCGCGGGCGTGAAGCACCTTCCCACAGTGTGCAGCCACCTCCCCCGTCCGCCTCCAGGAGGCTTCCGTCTTCCCTGAAACACCAGCCCCCCAGCCCCCCGCGCCCACCATCCACTTCCCGTCTGGATCGGGCGGGGCGCCTCGTAGACGTGGAAGCTTGCCGTGCTTGTCCTTCCGCGATGGTTCACTTCCCCCAGCATCGTGTCCTCAGCGCTCGTCCGTGCTGTGGCAGGTGTCCCGGCGTCCGTCCTTTTTAAGGCTGAGTAGTCTGTTGTGTGGATGGCCCACCTGGTGCGTATCCACCGCCCACCAGTGGACGCCCGGGGCGCTGCCCCCTTGGCTACGGTGAATGATGCTGCTGTGAACACGGTATGCAGGTACCCCCTTGAGACCCTGCCTTCGACTGTTCTGTGTATCTCCCCGGAAGTGGGATTATTGGAGCCTCTGAGAACCGTCCACACCGTTTCCCCCGCGGCCACCCCGTGTTACGTTCCCTCCAGCAGGGCACCGCTTCTCCACATCCTCCCCAACACTCGGGCTTTTCAGGTTTTTTGATCGAGGCCATTCTAATGGGTGTGAGATGGTATCTCATGGGGGTTTTGATTTGCGTTTCCCTAATTAGTGACCTTGAGCATCTATTCGTGTTGCCTATTGGCCATTTCAGTGTCTCCCTTGGAGAAATGCCTATTCCAATTCTTTGGCAAAAGACTTTTAAATGTTTTCCTCTTCTTACTTCCCCTCCTCCGTCCTCCCCTCCGCCCTCCTGCTCCCCGTGTATGACCGGGCTGCTCATCACCACACCAGAGGGAGAACTTAACTGGCAGAACAACAGAGTGATGTTTCCAGAGCACAGTCAAGGAGATACCCCCCAAAATATCTTAAACCTTTTTTTTCAATTTTACATATGGATTTGAAGTTCTTGATGATTTCTAAACGTGTTCCTTCTGTGTAAACCCTGAGAGAGGTGCACCCACACGTCAGGGCCTGTCTCTGCCCGTGAAGACGCTGCCGCCCGCCCGGTCGCAGCAGTGGGTGAGGCCGGACAGAGCACCGCGGCCTGCCGGGGGCCGGGCACTCCGTTCGCTGTCCGTCAGAACCCGGGCTCTCAGGCCGCCGGCAGGTGGGCCGGCCCCCGGGCCGGGCACAGAGTGGGTGCTCAGTAAATACGCGCCAGGCCCCGGGGCGTGGTGGGGGTGATGGCGCGGGGAGGAGGGGCCAGAGCCTCCGCCCCGTGGCGTGGGCCGAACTCTGGCCCACAGCGCTCTCTCTCGCCCCCAGGAGACAGATACTGGGTATTTAAGGACAATAACGTAGAGGAAGGATACCCGCGGCCCGTCTCGGACTTCGGCCTCCCACCGGGCGGCGTCGACGCTGCTTTCTCCTGGGCCCACAATGACAAGACTTATTTCTTTAAGGACCAGCTCTACTGGCGCTTTGATGAGCACACACGGCGCATGGACCCCGGCCACCCTGCCCGGAGCCCCCCGTGGAGGGGCATCCCCAGCATGCTGGACGACGCCATGCGCTGGTCCGACGGTGAGCCCCACGCAGCCTCCGTCTCCCCGCCTGGGGGATGGGGGTCGCGGCAGGCTCGTTGGGAGGACCCGGGAGCTGACGCGTGCACCTGCGCCCCTCGCTGCCACCAGCCCACCGGGGTCGCCGCTCTGTGCAGGCTCCTGCTGCCTCACGGGCCCCAGGGCCTTTGCACCTGCCCTGCATCCCGCGGACGCTGCCCAGACGCCTGCTTCAGGCCCACATGGTGCGGCCCCGCCTGGCCAAGGGGAGAGCACAACTCCCTCTCCACGGGACAGCTGACGGGGCCAGATGTCTCGGTTCCTTTCTGTTTTCAAAGCTACGTCCCCAACACCTAGAGCGGCCTGGCACATAGTAGGCCCTCAATAAACACGCCGTGAGACAGAAACCGAGAGGGCCTCTCATCCATCCCCTGCCTCCTGGCGGCTCCCCCAAGCTTTCCCGGGCCTGGGAGGCCCTGGGTGCCCACGGTCGGCCGCCGGGGCTGGGACAGACTGACCGCGCAGAGGCTGCTGTCCCACTTGCCCTGGGCCGCGCTCTGCCCCTCGTCCCCCTGCCGTCTGGCCTCACCCCTGCCTGCCGCAGCCCCGCACCTCACGCTCTCCTCTCCCCCAGGTGCTGCTTACTTCTTCCGCGGCAAGGAGTACTGGAAGGTGCTGGACAGCGAGCTGGAGGCCGCGCCCGGGTACCCACAGTCCACGGCGCGGGACTGGCTGGTCTGCAGAGACCCGCAGGCGGACCCGGAGGGCTCGGGCAGAGAGGCCGGGGCCCACGCCCGGCCAGGGCGGCATGGCCAGAGCCGCGCGGAGGACGCCTTCGAGGTCTGCTCCTGCACCTCCCCCGCCTCCCCTCCCCCGGGGGCCTCGGGCCCGCTGCTGGTGGCCTCAGTCTTGCTGACCCCCAGCGCCCTGTGGACAGCAGCCCGGGCCCTGGCGCTCTGACGGCCGCCGCCCGCGAGAGGGCAGGGGGGTCACAGCTGGGCCTCACAGGGCCAGGGCGGGCGCCCCCACCCCTCCGGTGCCCGGGCCAAGAGCCCCTGCCGCACCACACGTGGCCTCGGGGCCCCCGCCGGGCGGAGAAGGACACACTGCCGCCTGCTGGCACCCCGCGGGCTGTGAGGAGGCCAGCAGAGGGCGCTGCCGCTCAGCCACCTGCCCGTCCTTTCCTGCCCCCACCCCCCGGGGGCCGACTGTCCGGCCGGGCTGGGGACCGGAGCCGTCCTTCCGGCCTGCGCACAGCTATCGCCAGAACTCTAGCGATGAGCCCGGGAGGCAGGGCTGGCAGGGCGCGGGGTGGCCCCTCTGCCCCCAGCCTCGCCAGCCCCCGGGACAGCCCCCCCGCCGGAGGCACCACCGTCCCCGTCTCGCGCCCAGACTGCTGCCCCTGGTGCTTCCGCCCACCCCCGGGGGGCTCTTGTCCGCCCACCCCCGTGGGCCTGCGGTTGCCTGTCACAGGGCAGCCGCTAACCCGCAGGTGAGTCCCCCAGGCTGGGGCCGAGGCCGGTCCCCCTCCTGACGCATTTCAGACAAACACGACCTCTCCCTGCTTCCTGCTGGCTCAGCCTCGGCTCCCTGATGCCCTGCGGGCAGGCGGGGGCCACGGGTGAATGTCCTCGGGGGCCTGGAGGGGCCGTGCAGACCTGGCCCCAGACCCTCCTGCGCTTGGGAGGGGCGGGGGCTTCCAGGAAGAGGCTGGTGCCCCCCCGGGGTCCGCCGACCCCTTCCTGTCCGGCACCGGCTGACCCTGCCCGTGCCCCCGTCCTTCCACCCGTTTCCCAGGCAGGGGCGGAGGCCCTAGCACGTTTGCCCAGTGCTCGCTGATGGAGCCCCTCCCTGCGTGCACACACTCCCTGCCCGGAGTGTACGTGCGGAACGCGCCAGTGCCCCTTCTCGGTGAGGCACCTGGGACCCCAGCTGCCAAAACCAGGCAGCCACCCAACAGGAAGCGCAGGGAGGCGGCTGGGAGGCCGGTCGAGGGACCGCCCTCCCACCCGGAGACACAGTGGGAGCCGCACCCCCAGTCAGGAGACGCGGCCTGTGCGGAAGCCGGGGTGGGTGGCCTACCCCCGGCTGCTGCGCCTTCCTCACCCAAGCCCACACCCCCCTCTGCCCCCGTGGTAGGCCCGCCCCGTCCCCAGAGAGGGGTGGTGACCCCTGATTGCAGAGGTGCTCACAGGCCTGAAGGCGGTGCACAGAGGGCCTGCCGGGCCATGTTAGAGCAAGGGTCCCCAAGAGCCCCGGCATCCCCCCCATCCCCCGGAGAATGCAGATTCTCGGCCCTGCCCCCGCGACCAGAGCATGGTGGGCGGGGCCGGCCGTGTGTGTCAACCCCCCACCTCTGTGTGTGCCGCGCTCTCTCCTGGGGCTCCAGAGAGCTGCCCCGAGCAGGATGGGCAGAACCTGAGGGAGGAGTTGGTCATGCAATCAGATGGAAGAGGCAGGCCAGGGAAGGAGCAGCAGGTGTGACTGTCGGGGCCGGGGGACCCGGGAGGCAGGCCCAGCCCATGGGGTCCCTCCTGCAAAACAGGGGTCATCCAGTCCCCGCCACCCCTTCTCCACCCCTGGCTCTCAGAGGAGAGTGTGGGTGCTGCAGCCCCAAGCCCCCCCCCCCACCTGACATGCAGACCGCAGAGGCGGGTGCGGAGCCCACCCTGGACGCAGATGCGTGGCAGCCCCCTCCGTCCGTCTGCCCTGTGACCTGCGGAGCTGGGAGGGGTCTCTGCCTGTCAGACGGACAAGACGGACCAGAGGTCCTTCTGGGGAGCAGGCTGCCCAGCGTGGTCCCACTTCGTTCTCCAGCTTTGGGGGAGCCCCCCCAGGCCCTTGTGCGGGTGGGAAATAGCCCAGAGAGGGTCCCCAACCCCCAGGGTGCACAGCCCAGGGCTCTCAATGTGGGCAGTGGTCTTAGTGCTGGGTCAAAGCCAAATACTCTTCCTTAAAACTTTCCCGCCGTTGCGTGCCATGTGAAGAAGTGAACAGCGGCAGTGTCCCAGAATGATGCTACCCACACGGTCCTTCAATTTAGCTGAGTCACCATTTAGACACCCGGACATTCTGTGTTGAATTTGGGATTTTCGGGCGGTCTCCGTTTTTACCCCGGGCTGTGCTGGCTGTGCTGGGGGGAAGCTGTGCCCCTGGGGGCCAGCAGCCCTGGGACAGGCTCAGAGACCCCTCCGAGAAAGGCCGGAGGACTGGCACCACGGTGGCGAGGACGAGGACCCCGCTCGCAGCACGCGCCGGGCCCAGGTGCTGACTGGCCTCCGCGTGCCCACCTTGTGAGCGGACTCGCACATCTCTGCGTGCGTGGGTAGCAAGTTTACAAAACGGTGCACCGGTGACTTCAGGGTCCAGAACACAGCGGCTCTGGGCCCCCACCCCCTTGCAGGCGGGGAAACGGAGGCATGGCTTAGCTCAGGCTGTGTGGCAAGCGCCACGGACGGGGCCCAAACAGCAGACACGGCTCTGGAGCCTGGACGCCGGCCGACGGGGGCTGGTGGCTTCCGTCCCGCTGAGAGCCGCGTCCTGGCTCACAGACGGCGCGTTCCCGCTGTGTTCGTGTGGGAAAGAGCGAGTCCTGAGCTCTGCACGGGGATGCTGGTCCACGGGGGCCCCACCTCTGTGACCTCATCTAATCTCACCACCCAGAGCCCCCCCAAATGCCATCCCGCTGGGGGTGGGGCTCCCACCAGCAGACTCGGGGGGACACAGACATTCGGTGGACACACGTGGGAGCGTAGGCCACGGCACCAAGCCTGCATCGTGGGTGCCACGAGGGCCAGACTCAGCCCTCGGCCACACCGCACCCTCTCCCGCCAGTTTCCCTGGGAGCAGGCTGGGGGGCTTGGGGGGCTCTGGGGGGCTCATCACCCCAAAGAATAGTCGCGATGGTACGGTTCTGGTCCTGTTCTGCACTTTACAAATACAAACTCATTGGATCCTCTCCATTTCGTGAAGGAGGGAATGTGGTTGTGTCTGTTTTCCAGAGGAGGAAACCGAGGCTCACAGAGGAGCCGTGAGCCGCCAGGGCTGGTGGGTGAGGGGCCTGGGGGCGGAACCCAGGTGGCCACGCTCCGAGGGTGGGCTAACCCGCGTGGCTCTCCCTGTGTCCGGTGGGAGTGAATGTGGGGGCGGCCATCTGATGTGCTCGGGCGTTCCTCCATGCCCGGGGGACGCAGCCCCCGCCCCCGCCCACCATGTGCCTGCAGCCGGGAATCGGGCCCTCGCGGGCTCTGCTGTCCCTCCCTGAGCCCACGAAGGGTGACAGGACCTGGTGCGTCTGAACCCACAGCACACAGACGCTGGTGTCCACCGCCCCCTCTCCCCGGCATCTGCTTGTGGCTTGCCACAGCGACACCCATCGACTCCAGGCCTGCGTCCGGACATCCCCGGGCTCGGCCGAGCGATTCTCCCCTGGCGGCTGTCCGGTCTTGCAGCCGGGTGGTGGCCGAGCCCGGGGGGCAGTGGTGCCGGCTGTGGAGGGGCCTCCACGTGCCCGTGCGTCCTCACGTGGCGGCCGGCGGGGGGACCACACCACTGCTGTGACCTCGTCTCTGAGGTCAGGTGAGTGCGCTCCTGCTGAGGTCTTGGGCCGGCCTGAGGCATGGGAGGGGACAGACCCCACCTCTTCAGGTGACCGAGCGTCAGTCCACATCCCACGAAAACCACACGAGACTCAGGAGGTCTTGTGGTGCCCGGCTTGGAAAGTCCGACCGGCCCCATAGCCCCAGCTGCAAAGGGAAACAGCAGGCCCCGCGCCCCCCGGGCCGCCAGTCCTGGACACAGACCCCATGCCACCTGCCACTTCCTCAGGCAGACACGTCCGCACCGTTTGGCCCAGTCCTGCCCCACCGTCCAGTTACATCCCAGCCAAGGCCCGTCCGCTCTGCCTGGACTGTTCCAGCAGCCCCCTGACCGGTCCCCTGCGCCCCACTGGCCCCTTTGGAGTGTTCTGCACGTGGCAGCCACGGGGCCCTGTGGAACGCCCCACCAGACCACGAGTCCTCTCTGTGGCCCTCCGTCTCCCCTTCCCTCCCCGGCCTGCACCCTCCGCGCACACCCGTCTGTCTCCACCGTCGCCTGGTCAGCGACGCCCCTCCCACCGTCGCAACCACTAGTCCGTTGGTGGTTTTAGCCGATATTTCGTTGGGTGTCTCTCCTTCTCATGAGGGTCCAAAGATCTGGCCGCGGCCCCAGCACCCAGAACCGTGCCCGGCTCAGCCAGCGTCTGTCGAGTGACCGGAGAGATGACCGACGCCCCGGGCACACTCAGCCACGCACAGGGGTCTGGCCCAGGACGTGGCTTCACGGAGGGCAGCCGTTTCCTTAATTAATCGTTCGATTTGTCGTCCAGACAGGGACGGAGGGTAAGCAGGTGTTGGCTCTGCCGGGTGGCCCGGCACGGTGGCGTCAGACCTGTCCCCGCTGATTCCGGCGGGAGAGGTCAGCACCCCGTGGTCAGGGAGGTGAGGGGAGGGAACAGAGCTCGGCATGCGACCGGCCCCCCACGGCCCGCCTCGTTGGCCAGCTTCCCTGGGAATAGTGTTGCCCCCACGGGACAGCTGCGTGGTTCATGAGACGTACCGCTGCTTTCCACGAGCGGAGTCCCCGCCACGGAGCCCGAGTGTCCTCAGGGGGACGCAGGCGGGCCCGTGCTTGCCACAATGCTCGCTTCTCCGGCAGGGTGCCCCGCATGGCTGTGGGGACGGTGGCTAGACCGTGCTGACCATGTGCCGGAACCGGGCTCGGGACGCGTCCCGGAAGGAACAGAGCCCCCAAGGCTAGGAGCTGCGTCTGGGCGTCGCTGCCGGGGCGGTGGGCAGGGTCGGTCACCCCAGGAAGGCCTGGGGGTTCCAGGCCACAGCGGTATGGACCCCGATGCAATGCCCCGCCATCCGCAGCCTGGACCCTGCCCTTCCAGGAGTCCACCCCCAAACTCCAGCCTCCAGCTGCCCCAACACCCCCCGTGTCCCCAGACAGCGCCCCAAGTCACTCCCGCCTCTGAGCCTTCATTCCCCAAACAGCCCCATGGGCTGGGCGAGCCAGGCCCCCGTTTGCACCCGCTCTTCACCTCTGAGCCGTGAGCCTCGGGGGCTCCCTCGCGGACCCAGCCCCCACCCGTCCCTGTGCACTCGCTCCGTCCAGGGACCGCAGCTCAGAGGAGACCCCGCGGCAGCGGTCATTTCCCATCTGCTGCTTCTTTCCGACACGGCTGCAAGTCTCCTGAATCAGAGCTTCATTCCCTGTTGGGGCTGAGCTGGCTCAGCCACGTCTTGTCCTTCCGCTCATCCGCTGACGGACAGCAGGGGGTTCCCGCCTTTTGGCCCCTAGTGTGGACACAGGAGGAGCCCTAGGGGACTCGTCATCGCGTGACCCTGCACCGCCCGCTGGGCGCAGCAGGGCGGGAGCTCAGGCAGGCCCCCCGGCCCCCCCATCCAGGCTGGAGCAGAGGAGTCACCCCCCACCCCCTGGACGCGTCTGTCACTCAAAAGCTTGAACCCATCTAACGCCTCTGCCTTTGCTTCTGAGTTACCCGCCCCCCCGCGCTCGCCCTGGTCCTGCAGAGGCCCCTGCAGGCCTGTCTTGGTCCGGGTGGGGATGCGGGGCGCCAGGGCTCCCGCGAAAGCCCAGCGGGCGCGTCCTGGAGTGTGAGTCCCAGGTGTGTCCAGGGTTGCCCAGGTGCGGGCTGGGCCCGGGGTCCGGGCGTGTGAGGGCTGCCCGCAGGAGGCGGGCTTGGCGGTCGCGGCTGTGGAAGCCACGTCTCCGCACACTGATTTGGAGCATGTGCCAAAGCTGGCCCTCGTCAACCCATGAAAAGGGTGCTTCTGGGGGTTTGGAGCTTGGAAGTCCAGGCGCCTGCAAAAGCAGATGTCCGGTGTGGACTCGACTGACCTCATGCGGCCCTACAGCGGTTGGCAGGTGAGAGCAGCGCGGGGGCGACCCGGACGCCCTTCCCCAGATGCTGGAGTCAGAACGACACGAGCTCATCTGAGCAAGCCGGCCCCAGGCTGTGGAGCAGCCCCAGCAAGGAGGCGGGAGCCCCGGGCCCACTCAGCACAGTCTCCGGCCGGCCACCCGGCACCCCAAGCAGGAGATCGGGTTTCTAGCCTCCCCATCCAAAGCTGCAGCAACGGGCCTCCTGAGTGGCTCGTGGGCTCTGCCTCTGGGCACGACAGAAGGACGAGGAGAGGGTAGGACAGACCTCCGTCCTTGCATCCCCCACCCCACGCAGGGGACGTGTGTCGGCCCAGGGTCCCCTCAGCTTTCCTGTCCTACCCGCCCAGCGCAGGGCAAAGGTCCCGCAACCTCATGTGGAGTTGGCCGCACACCTTGGGCACACACACCTCCACATGTTCATCCGCCTCGCAGGTGCTTGCGGAGCGCCCACTCCGTTCCAGAGGGTGCTGTTCCAGGCCGTCCCGTGGGCGGCTCCTCCCCCATCCGGGCCTGGCCTGCTGGGACACAGGAGCGGGTCTTCCCGAAGAGCAGCCATCCGGGGCTCTTTGAAATCAGCATCTGTCCTGCATCAAGGGCAGTCCCAGGCCAGTGCTGGGGGAGGGGCGGGTCAAGGGGAGCTTTGGGGGGCACGCCCCTATCTGCACCCCTTGGGAACCTACATTGGCATATTTTGTAATGCCAAGTCCCCTGCAATCCCACCCCCAGATGTGTCCCAGAGAGACTCATGGGAGGAAAGAGGGGTGAGATGTTAACAGCAGAAGTCCGGACCCAGCCTGCGGGCCGTGGCCGGAACGGACGGCGCGTTCCCGGACAGAGCTGGGGGGGTGGGCAGCCCGGGCAGCAGTGGGGGGAGCGGCCGCGACATGCGCAGCCCAGAACGGAGCTCGTCCACACCACGGTGAATGAGGAAAGCATGCACGACACAGTCCCTGTGCTGTTGTTTAAAAGACGGTCAAAACGGGGAAAATTATGACTCACAGAGCTATGAAAATGAAGAGGTGTTAAAGATTTTGCTCAAGGAGGGAACCAGGCAGATGTTAGGAAGTTGGGAAAAAAATTGAAAGACACCCTTATGGATGAGAAATACTGAGATGAATAAGTGCATGGAGGAAAATCCGGGTTTTTCTGTGGGATGGAGGGGAGATCACGGGAGCCCGGCGGACAAGAAAGAGTTTGCTCGTCTGTCCGTTATGTACAACTCGCACAGAGGTTTGTAAGACAGCTCGGCGGCACAGGAGGCCGAGGGGGGGCCTGGTGCGCCTACACCACTGGGACCCCCAGGGCAGCCCGCGGACTCCCCGAGCGCTTCTCTCCTGGGCCATCCGTGCGGGCCCCGAGGCTCAGGAGGGTTCTAGCTGGCCGCTTGCAGTTAGTTGGGTCTGGGTATTTCTTCCTCCAGCCTCTCTAGGACTCCAGAGGCGTTTAATGGGTTTACGTTGATTGATCTATGTTTACATTGATGGAACCGTAACCTGATCCTGCTCAGTGGCTGGTGGCGCAGGCCGATGGCCGTGGGGCGCTGTCTCTTCCTCTCGGTCTGTCTTCCTCGCCTGCTGTCTTCCCTGCTTGTGAACATTGTTTCAACACGGTTATGCTTTGATTCCTCTTTCTATAGGTATTTTTTGTGGTTACCCTCAGACCTACATATGACACCTTATAGTTACAGAAGTCTATTTTAGGGATGCCTGGGTGGCTCAGTCAGTTAAGCGTCTGCCTTCGGCTCAGGTCATGATCCCGGGGTCCTGGGATCGAGCCCCGCATCGGGCTCCCTGCTCGGCGGGAAGCCTGCTTCTCCCTCTCCCACTCCCCCTGCTTGTGTTCCCTCTCTCGCTGTCTCTCTCTCTCTCTCTCTCTCTGTGTCAAATAAATAAATAAAATCTTAAAAAAAAAAAAAAAGAAGTCTATTTTAAGTGGAAAACTTATGTTCAACCACACACGAAGCCCGTATGCTTTAGCTCCGGTCCCACACACACATTTTACGGTATTTTGGTCACAGTTT